AAGCAGCAGTCAAGAAATCAAATGACGTGTTGCATTGGGCAAATCTGCTGCAAAAGACCTCTTGAAATTTTTTAAAAAACAAAATGGCACTTTGATGACGAAGGTGAGCCTGACCCAACCCATGGTCTTTTCATTTGCCTCAACTGCCTTCAAGGAAGACTGAAGAAGAATCGGTGCACTTGAACTGTGGTGTTGGCAAACAGTATTGAATACAGCCTGGACTGCCAGAACCAACAAATCAGTCTTAGAAGAAATACAACCAGAAAGCTCCTTAGAAACGAGGATGGTGACACTTTGGCTCTCTAACTTTGAACACATAATCTGGAAAGATCAGTCACTAGAAAAGAACATCATGGTTGGTAAAGTGGAGGGTCTGCAAAAATGAGGGAAACCCTCAAAGCGATAGATTGACACTGGTGGAAACAATGGACTCAAACACACCAACAGTCATGAAGATGACGCAGGACGTGGCTGTGTTTCGCTGTGTTGTACATAAGGTTGTCATGAGTCAGAGCCGACTCAGTGATGGCCACTAACAACAACCAAATGGTAGAAATAACACCACCACCACCTAAATGGATCATTTCTTTCATAAGGATCAGCACAAAGCTGGTTCCTATGAGGCGGAGGTTAGAGATGTCCCAAATGCCCAGCTTCTCCAAACTGCTGTACCACTCCATCATCTCTAACGTCAACTACTCCCTCTCCCCTCAATACTCTAGCTCCAGTCTTTGGGTTCCACAATTCACTGCAACATCTCACAGAACTCACGAACCATACTGACAGTTAAGTGGTTTATTAGGCAAGTAACAAGGTACAACTCAGGATCGGGATCAACTTGGAAGTAACAGGAACAACTGAGGATGCGGTTCCTGGATCAGGACAGCTTCTTCTCCCCCTCTGCCACGGGGCCCTGCTGGAGGCCTTCTAAGGCAAGTGTTACACCTCTTAGCTCCATGGGCCAGCAAGCCCCACTGCAGCCATTTCATGCCGGTCTCCTGATTCCTGCCATCTCGTGCAGCTGTCTCTCGATATCTTCCGTGTTACAGCTCCCTATCTCTGTCTCCATGTCTCCCTTTAAGACTAGCAGATGGCAAAACTGACCAATCCCCTTGTTAGGGTTCTATACACCTTATTTGCATGGTCCCACTCCCACAAGGGTGCCATGCTCCTTATTTACATTATTAGCAAGCTATGCAATCCCCTTGGTGGGCCACAAGCACCTCGTTCGCATAGTCCCACCCAGTCATTTGGTGGGAGTCATAAAGACTAGAAGGGCCATAGTAAGTCATTCACTGCATGGCACCACCTCCTAGGGTACTTGTGGGGATTAAGTGAGCCTGTACATGTACAGCACTTGAAAGAATGCTTGGCTCAACGACCCCTAATTATCAGCAGCAGCATCCCCTGGTGTTTTAAGACAGTTTGCTGCTGTTTCCCCTGAGACAAGGATTTGAGTGCAAAGAGTCTGTTCAGAAAGATATCCAGCAAGCATGTACAAGGGAGGGAGGAAGTGAGACGGGGAAGGAAAGGAAGCCAATAGAAGGGCCATTGATGACCAGATTGCTTTAGTGGACCATTAGGGCTCACTCCTGCTGGGGGTGACTGTAGAGAACCCCCCTCAACGTCATCCCACCGAAAGACAAGGAATCGAGGATGTTTGCAGTAGGAAGCAGAGTGTAAGGGAAACCAAGCCAACCAGTTGCCCTCCAGTTGATTCCAACCAGGGATGGATTTCCCAGTAAGCAAGGAAGGCACAGGCTTTCTTGGGCTTACTTACTCATCTGTAGTGCACAATTGCACCGGTTGTTCACCACATCTGTGATGAAAACACAATTCAGTCCATGTGTACCTTGCTTACTGTAAGCCCATGCACACCTTCCCCAAAAAACCAAACCATCGCTGCTGAGTCAATTCCAACTCATAGCGACCCTACAGGTTAGAGTAGAACTGCCTCACAGAGTTACGCATACCTTGCTCACTGGTTAACCTGCCCCTGATTCCGACTCGCGGCAACCCCATGTGTGCAGAGTAGAACTGTGCTTATAGAGTTTTCATGCCTGTGACCGTTTGGAAGCAGATTGCCAGGCCTTTCTTCTGCAGTGCCTCTGAGTGTGTTCAAACCTTCAACCTTTCAGTTACTAGCCGAGTTTGCCCCACCCAAGGACTCCTAGTATAAGGAAAGAGGGTCCCAGTAGTGAATGCCACATCCGGCTTCTCTGAAAAATTCCCAAATCTTCCATTGCCCTCTGTGCACCATGTATAATGACAAACTGAGCTCAGGTGGGGAACAGAGGGTTCTGGGCCAGAACGAGTTTGATTAAGCACCTTCACGCGTGATTTGAGGGACACCCACAGGACTCTTTTCTGACATTTCCCTCTCTCACACCACCCTGGCGGGAACCTGAGATTACCCTCTGAAGCATTTTAAGCAGGGCTGGGATATGATTCAAATCAGCATTCCAGAGCGATCCCTGCAGTGGAGGCAGGAGTCCAGAGAACAGGGAGAGCTGAGAGGCTGGCGGAGTCAGTTTCCTGGGAGCCCTGGTAAGGCCTGCCTGGCCTGGTTCCAGGTGTCAGGCCAATCCAGTCTCCAGCCAGGAGCAGGGAGGTTAAGCAGCTGATGGAGCCCGCTCTTCTGAGAGGCGGGGGCTGGGAGAGACAGGTGAAGAGGCGTCCAAGCTCAGGAGCTGCACTGGCGGAGAGCACCCTGCAGGGCTTCCTGGGACCGAGCCTCTGAGAGGGGCCAGGGAGGCAGGGACTGCCGACTGACCCATGGTTACAGCCCAGGGTGCAACTGCCTCTGACCACACAGAGGGACAAGGCAGACGCCCCGTGAGCATTAGCAATGACTTGAGCTGAACTCAGCAGGATGCATTTTCGAGGCTGTGTGGGGCTGGCTGAGAGGTGAGAAGTATTAAAGCATTCTCAACCCACTTTTCCATCCTCCAGGAACCTTCGACTGGGCCTTCCTCCTCCCCACCTCTTCCTTGATCAGTAGTCCTCCTACCCCTGACACTCTGGGCCCCCATCTGACAGTCCCTCCTGCTCTGGAGGCCGCAGTGACTCGGTGGGGGAGGGCCCTGCTCAGTGGAAGGTTGGTGGCTATCTGCCCCCAAGGCTCCTTGACAACTTCCCAGGCCCTAGCACAACCCCTCAGCTGTAGAAACAGTGGTTCTAAAAGAAGCCCCTGGAATGTGGGACATAAACCTTGACATTCCTGGTGGCCACTCCCAGGCATTTCCAAAAATACCACTGCAGAAGAGCTGGGATGCAGTTGGGCCATGTCCAAGATGTTCTTCCTGAGAAAACGGGTGTTGTAAGCAGTGCCGGATTACCCAATAAGCAAGGTAAACACAGGCTTACTTGTGCTTACTCACTAATCTGTAGTGAACAATTTCACATTTTTTTCACCACATCAGATATTCTGCTTCTAGGTATGGCTAGCACCTGTCTCTTTCCCAACCCCACAGCACCTTCCTACAGAATCAAAGCCTCTTTTCAAATTTACGATCCCTGACAGGGACGGAGTACCTATAAGTAAGGTAAGCACAAGCTTACTTGTGCTTACTTAGTAATCTGTAGTGAATAAAAATATGGTGAAACCATGTGAAATAAGCACAAGTAAGCCCATGCTTACTTACCTCCTGGTTGCGAGTGAATCCAAGCCCTTTCCTGGGTCTCACACGAAGGGGCCTCTGGGAAAAGTCTTCATTTGGCAGTGGGGGGTGCAGAAAGAAACACTTGCCACTAGTGAGGGCCCCAAAGTGCTTGTGAACTGAGTACATGTACAGGTGATTGTGGAAAAGCAAACGTGAGCACGGTACAGGTGAGGCAGGAACACACACAGGGGCAAAACCACTGTCTCTGCAGGTGTCCAAGGGCCCAGGAGAGCCCAGGACAAAGGTACCTCACCTTCATTCATAACTGTTGAAGATGTTGAAAAGGGAGAGCCATAGATTCTACACTTAAGCACAGTATCTGAATGTGAAGTCAAGAGTGTGTGTGGATATTTAACACAGAACTCAAGACTTAAGAGAATTCCCATCTCCACACCCTCCAGCCAGCATTCACTCTTCGAGTTAAGAGTATTCCCCATCAGCCATAAAGAGAAATGAAGTTCTGATACATGCTACACCATGGATGAACCTGGACATTATGCCGAGTCAAATCAGTCAGTCACAAAAGGGCAAATATTCTATGATCTCACTTACCTGAAATATCTAGAATAGGCAAGTGTATAGAGATCAAGGTTTATTAGTGGTTACGAGGGCTGGCAGCAGGGATGCGGGAAGGAAGACAATGCATTGGGGACACCCTTCTGTGAAGGGTGATGGGAAAATTCGGGTTGGTGATGGCTGAACAATGATGAACACACTTAACGTCACTGAACTGTACATGTGAAGGCTGTTGAAATGGGAAATGTTTTGTTAACTATATATTTACCACAATAAAAAAAAGAAGAAAAAGAGTACTCCGACAGGATCGTTCTAGATGCACTAAACTACTGCCGAATCACCCATGTTACAAATGGCAAAACTAAGGCCCAAAGACGGTAGGAAACTCTACCACCCCCTCGCACCACCACCACCATTGTAATTTCCATCCAGCCTTGCCTACGGGCTCCCCGGGCCTTTTTTTTCCAACTCTCTTCTCTCTCAGAAATGAGTTCCCCCCCGTTTCTCTGCCTGCACGCTCTCCTTTCCCAGGAAGTCTAGCCCGTCACTTTGCGGAAAAAGCAACCACTAAGCCCTGGGAAAATTCGCTTCTCAAACAAGCAAATACGCCAAGGTGCATTGCGCATGCGCCTGTTACAGCCAGCGCCCCTCGGCCCGGGCCGTTAGTCCCGCCTCTCCGCCCCTCACCAACGCTGCCGCTCCGCCAATAGTCCCTCCTGCCCGGCACTGACGTAGCCGCCTCTGACGTCGTAGGAGGGCGCCGGTAGTCCAAGAGACAGTGGAGCTACACGTGGGCTGAAATTTGGAAACTCTGGTTGGGCAATGGATACGCCGGTAAGGCGCAGCCGGCGGCTGGAAGGACTACGGCCTGAATCCCCCCCTCCGAGGCAACCGGGCCTGGGATCCCCCCGACGTCAGCCAGAGACAAGACCGGGATCACCCAGTCTTCAGCAAGATGTAGGACTGGGGTCTCCCCGAAGGCAGCCAGAGCCAGGCCCAGGATCCCCCCAGCGTCAGCAAGATCCAGGCCTGGAGTCACCCCGAAGACAGCCAGAGTCGAGCCCGAAATCCCCCCTACGTCAGCCAAAGCCAAGTGAGGAGTCGTTAAAGTTCTCCCAGTGCCGGGGAGGACAGGACCCGGAGTTAGCCAAGAGTGAGGAGGAGCCGGGCCCAGGGTCCCCCCGACGTCAGCTAGAGCCTGGGGCGAACGCACCAAAGCCCTTCCAGAGCCAGGCTGGACCCGACTCGGGGTCTGCCCAGAATAAGGAGGAACTGGCCCCTGGATCTCCCCGACATCACCCGCAGCCGGGCCCAGGATCACCAGAGCCGTCCCCCGGCCAACAAGCTACTGGTCCGGAGCCCTCGCAGCCACTACAGAAGCTGACACCCCAGTCACCCGGCTCCCCCCGGGGTCAGCGCGAGCCGAGCAAGCCAACCCCGGCCGGGGAGACGGTGCCAGGCGGCGTCGGGGCAAAGAAGCGAAGAAGTTCTTCAGCCCAGGCCCCAGCGTCCAAAAAGCTGAAGAAGGAGGCAGAGGAGGTTCCGATGATCCCGAAGGGGAAGCCCAAGTCGGGGCGGGTGTGGAAGGATCGCTCCAAGAAGAGGTGAAGTGGGCACAGGGTGTGCAGGGCTGGGGTCCTCTGCGGTGTTGGGACTCCTCCTTTGCCCCGGTGCAGCTTGGGCTTTAGGAGGAGGAGACAGCCCCAGGGTTGGAGAGAGCTCACATTAGTGGGGGTGTCGCACAGACAGGTCGCTATAATCAGAATATTGTGAAATGCCCTGGAGTCCTGGGAGGGTGAGGCATGACCTGGAGGTTATTTCTGTGATGCCTTTCGTCCTTAGGGGCCCTATGCCCCTCTCCTATAGCACCTCATTTGTTCATTCAGGAGACATTCACTCTAGTGAGGAAAACAGAAGCAGGAAACCAGTTTGTTACAGTTATTTGACTTTATGATAAAAATTACTACAGAACATTGATTATATAGGACCCTGTTATTGTTAGCTGCCGTGGAGTTAGCTGCCCAACTCATGGCAACCCATGCACAACGGGGCAAAATGCTGCCGGGTTCTGCGCCATCCCTGTGATTGGTTGTGCATCTGACGTTGTGATCCATAGGACTGTCACTGGCTGATTTTTGGAAGTAGATCGCCAGGCCTTCCTTCCTAGGCTGTCTTAGTCTGGAAGCTCCACTGAAACCTGTCCAGCATCATAGCAACAGATCAAAGCCTCTGCTGACAGATGGGTGGTGGCTGCACATGAAATGCATTGTCCAGGAACCGAACCCAGATCTCCCATATGGGAGGTGAGAATTCTACCACTGTAATAAGCGCTTTAGTAGGGATTGGCCAGAATAAGGGCCTTTTAAACAGAGGGAAGAGCATGCATCACACATTTAATCTGCACATCGGCCCCATGAAGCAGGTATTATTATCCCCATTTTACATACGAGGAAACAAGGCTCGGGGAGGCTAAATGCTAAATGAGTGGTAGACACAGGACCTGAGCATACATCAGATTCCAAAGCCTGTGTATGAAACCCCTTTACCTATTCCCTGTAGACCCACCTTGAATTGTATTGCAGCCTCCTTAAGGGCAGCCACAAGGTCTTCTTTGTCTTTCTGGGTCAAGGGCATAGTAAGTGCTCAGTAAACACATGTTGAATGAAGGAAGAGGCTCATCTGAAGAAGGAAGAGTTCAGGCTGCTTGGAAGGAGCTCATTTCCCATTTTAGCTAATGGGAACCACCGGGCAGTCAGGAATGCATTGCTGTGCAGGACTGTGGGGAAGGAGGGAGTTTGGGTTTTTATTTTTATTTTTTTAGATTTAATTTTTTTTTTTTTTAATTGTACTTCACGTGAAGGCTTACAGAACAAATAGTTTCTCATGAAACAGTAGTACACATATTGTTTTATGACAGTGGTTAACAATCCCACAACATGTCAACCCTCTCCCTTCTCGACCTTTTTTTTTTTTTTTTCTGGTGAAAATATACATAGCCAAAGATACACCATTTCAAAAACTTCTACATGCACAGTTCAGTGACATCGACTATGCTCTTCCAACTGTGCTGCTATTCTCACTTTAGATGAAGGCTTACAGAACAAAACAGTTTCTCATTTAACAGTTAATAGACATGTTGCCCTATGACAATGGTTAACAACCTCACAACACATCAACACTCTCCTTACTCAACCTTGGGTTCCCTATCACCAGCTTTCCTGTCCCCTTCTGCCTTCTGGCCCTTGTCCCTGGACTGCTGTG